TAGCCCTTCTGTACCCCAGGCTAGATGACCCACTAGCAGCACCATGTGCCTCAGTCTGGTTGCCCCTCTCCTGCCAGTGTCCTGTGCCTCCTCACCCGGCCCTGTGTGCAGGACGCTGTGAGGAAGGCAGCCATTGCCCCCTCCCTCTCCATGGCTGGCTGCTCGGCCTGGAGTCATCCGCCCTTTCTTTTGGTGCCATAGCAGTCTCTGGTGGGCAAAAGGAGTAATTGCAACACTTCCCTGGCAGAATCTATTTTCTACTAGGTGGGAAGGGGAATCTGCAAGGGACATGAATTCTGCGTATGTGCAGGGGTGCAAAATTCCCCCAGGAGTAAAGTGCAGGTTACACTAAGACTCCAACCATCATTCCTTGCCATATCCATGCAGCAGCTTTTACCAGCAGTTAAAAATATGTCTAGGTGTTCATTTTTCACTGCCAAAAAACTAATGCAAATTACGCACATAGCTGTAAAACTTTCCAAGTACAAAGGAGGTAGGGAGAACCCCAAATTCTTTACAAGGAGCCAGTGCAACAAGACAGACTTGTTTGGGAAACTATATGGGTAAAAAGCATGACAACAACATAATCAATGTTTCTTTAGCAATGTCCTCATGCTAGCGGAGTATTTTGCTGTATTTTTAAATTGCCTGTACTTCACTGTAGTATTTAAATAGTCTCAACTAGGTGACGAAAGTAAATGTTAATTAAAGTAAATGATGTGAAGGAGGAAAACTTGAACCCTTGTTGTTTCAATGTAGAAGCTTTCTGTGAGGCTGAGTTAACATAAGTCCAGAGATTTACATTGTGAACCCTGTATTAACCCTCTCTTAAAATGAAAGCAGAACACTGGAAAAATTGCAGAGAACTTAAAGACTCAGAATCTGTCACTTATAAAATCTTGTCTGGGCAACCTGGTTATTTGGCAATACAAGTACATGGATGGTATTTGATATTTTTCAGTACAGATGGCCTCCTATCTGAGCACTCACTTGTCTTTATTATTGTGCTCCAACATTATAAACCCTTCATATTTATTATGTTAAAAAACTGCTAAGGAACCGGGCAAGTCACCTTCTAAAGATGCAGGACTTCCTTTAATCAATGCTGTGTATATAGAGTGCTTTGAAAATTTAAACTGTCTGTAGCTTTGTCCACACTAAGCAATTTTAACAATTCCCAGCCTTGAAGTCACGAAAACCTTATCTTCAGTGGGAGCGGTGATAGCCCTAGTGAGAAATGCTTGATAAAGGTCTATTGTAGATAGAGTTCATAAGTAATAGTGGTAACACTCTGTGTTTCCTAGTGGGTGACCAAAGTATGAATCTTAAAATCCAACTTCTGCAGTAGGGTTGATGGGGCCTGGCATTGTTGCTGTGTAAGTGCCTCTTCCAAAAGAGGAAGAGTCACTTCAGTGATAAAGCCTGCCAGCTGATCTTGTCAATTTCCTACCATGGTAATGGGCACATTAGGAATGCCTACGATAGATGGTGCTGCTTCAAGATAAGCTAGCTCAAAAGCAGTTATGTCCAATTCACTTAGCCAGAGAAACCTTACAAGATTGTGAAGGTTCTTAGCATGGAGGAAATAGTTATATGCAAATGATGTAGGGGATCAAAGGGGGGGAAGGCCTTTTCTGAAGACCCATAGCTATTGTTCAGGACTTTGATTCTATCCCATAGATACTAAATTCTTGATAGGCAAGAATGCCCTGTGTACCCAAGCCAATGTAAACAAGTAATTATCAACAAGTAGTTGCCAGACAGAAGTTGGGTAGATTTGAGCAACACTTCCAGTGTCTGAGGCACTAAAGAACATCTGTCTTCTAGTGGGAGAGGAGAACCATCAGGACCCTTCAAGAGAAGTGAAGAGGCAGTCTAACCATTCACCTCAAGTCCCCATGGGGAGAGAGACAATAGATTCCTTGCCTCCCCAGAAGAAGCTGAATTTGGAGGAGGAGTGCTCTCTCAATATCCAGAAACGAGTAATCCTTTGAAGTATAATGAGAACCAGTATACCATTCGAAGTGCTAGAGAAAATGGTGCAAGTGATATAGGGTAGCAGAAGGAAAGCATTATCGGGGTACTCAGCACAAATTTTATAACAACCTCCTTATTGATATTCACAGCTATTTCTGACCCTCGTTATCAAAAGAACAGGTGTGTGGTTTTCATTGTTTTTCGGAGTCCTCACGTGTTTGGTGTTGCAATCACAATGCAATAAGGTATTTCAACTGTAAAGCCTACTTCAAGTGTTCAACTTTGGAACTAAAGACAGTTTTGATGTAACTATTACGGCACTTGTGAATACTACGTGGAATGTTTGTGCTATTACTTCTACTCTGAGTGAATATAAGATTTAATATGCAGAGAAATTACTGCATTAATCTTTCATCTATCTACAGAGCGAGTTTTAAGCTTGCAAGTGAAGAGTTTAGCAATTTTGATACTGCAAATTATGGCAGCCCAGTTAGTACAGGATTTGTTATATTAATTGAAGAAGGGGAATTGAGGATCCAGCAAAGAAAGGCAAAAACGAAAAAAAAAATTTTCACAAACTCATATATTAATATTAGTGACTTGTCTAAAATTGCTGAAGATGTTCTAAAACTGAGGCCAATGAAGGGAGTTATATTTAAGTGTTTACATTTTCTTCAACAGATTTTTTAAAATGTATTTGTGACGCTGTTTCAGGTTTGACCCTAAAGACTTCAATGTATAACTCCTTACACAAGGAAAACAAAATTCCTCCTGCTAAATATTCGTTAAAGCTCCAGTATAGTCAAATAACGGAATGTTTGACAGTGGCTTTAAGAGAACTACAGATTACTTTTGTACCCGATCCCTCTAACAAAATGTTAACCTCTAGCTTCCCTATCCCAGCCATTCTACACAAAGCCCTACGGCTAGTCCTTATCCTCTCCTGCCACTCTAACCACATCACACTCTAGTCGCCTTAATTCTGCCACTTATTTCCTGTTGTATTTTCAGTAAGTGCTCAGAGCGGTTTGTGCTGTAGAATGCAGATCTCAACTGGGGATCTACGAGCAGGTTTCAGGGCCGGCGCTAGACTCACTGGGGTGCAGGGCAGAGAGACTAAGGAGCCAAAGCCTATGTCCCGCCGCGTGGGCCTCAAGCCAAAACCTGCACCCCGTCAGATTTACACAAAGAAAATAATATTCAGTTTTTTATTTTTGTGCCTATTTTATCCTTTTCTTTTTTATATTATATGTGTGTGTGTTTAACTGTATAACTATCAATTTAATACATCTTTTAATCTACTAGATATGCAGAAAAATAGTTGTGGCACAGGTGGGCTGTGGAGTTTTTATAGCATGTTGGGGGGCCTCAGAAAGAAAAAGGTTCAGAACCCTTGCTGTAGAAGACAAAAACAACAACAACTCAGATCCTGACCCAACTATCTTACAGTCTGAGGCATCAGTCCAGAAAACTCTGCATGAGTAAACTCTGTGAAGCCAATGGCCTTCTTTGTAGGCACAGAGATTTGCCTCCATGGAGCAGTTCGCCTGGTTTGGGCGTAAGTTTTTAACATATCAGATTCTACTTTCGTCTCTGCCTTCAAGGCCATACATAACCTCATGCCCTCTTACAGCTGACATGTCTCCTGCTCCTCACAGATTTCTTCTTAATACTCTCTTTCATCTCATTGTTTCACTTTCATGCTCCCGGCTCTCCTTCCCCACTTTTACCATGACTCCTTCTTGGTTTATCCATCCAATACTTTGCAAACTCTTCTTTAAATTAAATGTTGTTCTGCATCTCATTTCTAGCTTTCTGTAATTTAAGATTTTACGCTCTTAGATTCAATTTTACTCTGCCTGTAAAGTACCATGTGAATTTATGATACTATATAAAAATAAACATATTCAAAATGTTATGCAGAAAATAAAAGTATTTCACAGGAGTGACTATTTATTCATTTAAGCCCTGTTTAAAGCCCAATCACTGAGACCCTGCATCATTGCCATGCCAGAAACTTGCACTCCAGTCAAGTCAAAGCAAAAAGTGCAGCAGCACATAGATACAGAGCGCAATGAAATGTTTAAAACATACCCTGACCTTTTAAAAGGACATGCACCCTGTTAAAAATCTGCTGAACTATGGAAATTATTACAACACCTGAGGTCCATAGAAATTCAGTCACTAGTACCTGCATTTTGTTGCCTTTGGCTGAGACTGGCCTTTCAGATCTTCTAGATATGTAAAGTAGAAGAGCACTAACTGCCAGGGGTATATCATGGGAGGGTTACACTTAGCAGAAATGGACACATGTGCTTTTTGTACCCTGCATAATATACACAAAGGGGCCAGCACAACCAGAACAGGTTGAATCTGCTTAGAGGGGAAGTGGAGGTGCTTGATCTGCTGCCTGGGCATACTCCATTCTCCAGTAAGTCCACAAAACAGAGCACTTTAATTATATTAAAATACAATATGTAGGGCAAACAAATATACCACTTTGTCAGACTGGTTGAGCAATTTTATCAAAGAACAAAGCTGACAAGATGTTTGGCAATAACGAATTTATCTTAATCATATTAATTATTATTTGTGTTATCATAGTGCCTAAGAAACCTATTTATGGACCAGGAACCCATGTGGTAGGCACTGTATAAACATAAAACAAGAGAAGACAATCTAACTTCCTTAACTGGTCTGATTCTTCTAGGATTTGATTGCAGACATGCTTAAGAGATTGGCCCTGAGCTGCAAAGTGCCAATCCAGATTCTTCCAAAGCTCAGGAATACTGAGATCTAGACTATTATAGAAATTGAGGCCATCTGCAAAATGTGGATCTAGGTCTGAATTTCAAACCCCTTCTAACAATCTGTATGTCAGTCTGGATCCAGGTTTTGGCAAGAATTCTAATATAAATGTGATCTTGAAAATATTAGCTCCACAGAACCAACATTTGTCGTACTCTGACATAGCAATATCTTTATGCAAAAATCGAAATAGAAGGATGAAAAATGAAACTTACAACTCCAGCATCCTTGTAAATCTCAGCCTCATGACAGGCTTGATCAGTGATCTGGGTCAATGGCAAACTGCTCTGTGGTGTCCCTGCAAAGAACAATAATGTTATATGCCATGATACAAGCAGAAATCAAAACAAAGTCAGAGTTAGATTAAGATTATTGCAAGCATTGACAGAACTGCCAAAGTAGGCACAAACTGGCAGAGTAAATAATGTGAGTAGTAGGCTGTTGCATAATGTCTCATACCTTAATGGTATCTTGTCCCTAGTAGAACTTGATTGACATGGTTTGACTACTGAGTTCCTAAAACTGGTTTAAAAGCCCTCATACTTCAGGAATATCAAATGTAACCTTACACTGAACCAGACCAGCACCTAGCTTGTCATTCTTGCCTGTAATTGTGATCACACCTCATTCTTTACCAGTGACAAAGCATGTATTTCAATCTGTGGCAATGTCACAGGCAACTACTCTGCACCAGTGATGGGAAATTAATAGGAAGAAGATCAAAGAAATTGACAGGAAGGGATGCTTGGTAGGGATTCTCCAATGATTCATGAGAAGTGGAGGTTAAATCTTGCATGACAGTTTTCCCAGAGGCACACAAACAGGAATGATGCACAGGAGACAATTTAAAAACTGCACTGGTGCTAAAAGGAAGGTTCTCAGTACACAGGATGAAGTGAGCTGTAGCTCACGAAAGCTTATGCTCAAATAAATTGGTTAGTCTCTAAGGTGCCACAAGTACTCCTTTTCTTTTTGCGAGTACACAGGACTGTATCCAAGACACAGAGATACAACTACAATTGCAAACTGTTGCAAAATAACTCATTGATGAGTAACTGACAAAAAGCAGTGAAGTCTGCTGTTTTTCTGTCTGTTCTCCCTAAAGGTAAGATGAAATCCAAAAACTTTCAAGTGTCCTCTGATATTTTTGTGCCTAACTTTAGGCTTTATTTTCAGAGGTGCTGAACACTCACAATTCCAACAGAAGAGGCATTCAGCACCTCTGAAAATCAGGCTGTAGATGTCACAAATTGGGCAACCAAACTCAGAAGCCACTCTAAAAATACCGAGCCTAGTGAGTGCTCCACCTTCAATTTGTCTGCCACAACCATAAGATCACTCTGGGCAGGGCCTGAAGAATTTGCCTGACACTGACTAGCTAATATTACTGATGCTCCATTGTGAAGTCAAGGGCAAATGTCCCAGTGAAAAACCTGCATGCTCATCTCAGCTATCAGGTTTCCAGGTAGGTCACTGTCACTGTATCCTGACAAGAAACCCTGATCTTTTGTCTCCCACTCCCTCCCATAAATTCTCAATTCCCCCCAGTCACTCTCCAGCACCTTCCCTCCATGGGAATGGTGAGCTCAGCGACAAGGTTAACTTCCAATATTCCCTAAAAACAACAACAACAAAACAAACAAAAAACCCACACAACAACAGGGACTGCAGTTCTTCTGGCTCCCTTCCCAAGAGCTCAGGTTGTGGGATCTTAAATGTCCCGCTCACCCAGGGCTGCATGGGGATCTCATAAAATGTCACCTACTCTAACGTTCTGGACAGCAGAGCAAATCCAGCCAACAAACTTGTGCAACTTAAGTAAAGTCCAGGGAGCGCACTCCTACGCAAAGGCTGGATCTGGTTACACATAACAGCACCTGCTATGTTGTGATCATATGGTGCATAGTGCATTTCTACCTTGCTAGATTACAGACATATGGAGGTAGGCAAGAGGCAGCAAGCTGGACAACGTGGAAGAATGTCAATATGCTAGCTCCACCCCACGTCTCTTCTGTGCCTTGTTGGATGTTAAGAAATAGCAAACATGGGTCAGTGGGGTATTAAATCAGACTCACTGGACACAGGCTTATCTGAGCTGCAATCAGTATAAAACCTCTTTTTTACCTGGTAATGCCCCCACATGCACCATCCCAATGACAACTGATTTTAATCGCCCAAAGAGCTTCAGAAACTTCATGACCTATGGGAAAACAGACAGGGGGGTGTCAGTCAGTCAGCCCCGGGGGGGCAAGTTCTGAACGCTCCTGTGGTTCACTACTGAGCGGTACAGCCCCGTGTGACGGCGGCAATCCAGGGGAAGGGAAGAGGTGCGATTTAAAGTGGAAAGTCGGGTTGTCCTGACCCAGGGCAGGCAAAGCCCACACAGGCGGGCGCCCCAGGCAGCTCCCCCCGGGCTCTTCCCCTCGCAACGCAGGGAGCGTCCGGCCCTCAGCCCTGCCCCGGCCCGGCCGCTCCCCGTTACCTGGGCAGGGCCTCTCGGAGAAGCCCCGCGGCGCGACCCCTCGGCCTGGCCCGGCCCCGCCGCCGTGTTTACATCCAGGGGAAGCCACGCTGCTTCCTCCCGCTTCCGCGTCGGGGCCGCCGGCTCCGCCCCCGCGCCCGCAGGCCCCGCCCGAGCCGGCTGCCCGCCGAGCCCGGTGGCCGCGCAGCCTGGGCCCCCGCGCCTCCCCTCCTGCCCCCGGGCCCAGCCCCCTGCGCCCCGCCGCCTCCCCCCGCAGACCCCGCCCCGCCCCGGCCGGCTCCCGGCGGGGCCCCGCGCGGGGCCACGTGTGCGGCTCCCGGGCAGGGAGGAGGCCCCGCGCCCTCTCATTTAAATGTCCCGCTCGGCCGGGGCCGCTCTCTGCGCAGGGACGGGAGCGACCGCGCTGTGAGGCAGGAGGCGCCCAGCGGAGCCCGCCCGCGCCTCGCTCCCCGCCCGCCCTGCCCCGCGCCCCGTCCGCAGCCGCCGGGCAGCGCCTCGCACAGGGCACCCTCTCCCCGGGGTAAGGCGGGGGCGGGCGGCGAGGGTCGGGTGCCTGTGCCCGGGGCTCCCCCTCGGCCATTTCCTGGAGGTGCCCCAGTGAGGGGGCAGGCGAGGGGGAGGTGGGGAGGTCCCGGCCCTATCCGACCCCCCCCCCCAATGCACCCCGCATCCGACCCCGGCGGACTCCGCTCGGGTCCCCCCGCCCGGCGATGAGGGCCACCGCCGCCCGCGCGTCCGGAGCCCTTTGTGGGGCTGGGGAGCTGCAGCTGCTGCCGCCTTCGCCTTTGTGAGGCAGTGACCTGCCCCCCCTAACCCTCTGCCTTTCCCTCCTCCTAAGGTCGGAGCCAGCCTCACCCCGTCCCATCCAGGCACCATGCGCAGGGAGAGGTGAGTCTCTCTCCCCAGCCCCCTGCAGGGCGTGTGGGGGGTGGAAGTGGGGTAGGCCACGATCTCCATTAGGCAGATCCCAGAGGAGACTCCCTTGAGGGGTTTATGGCCCTGTATCTCTCTTTCTTGGCAGTGACTACGTGGATGAGAAGGTTCCCCCCAAGGGTGAGGGTGCTGCTGATCTTGCCATGCGAGCCCGAAAGAGGAAAGCTGATGTGGCCACTGTAAGTACAAAATGGCTCACTTTGATCCTCTAGGGCTAAGTCCTGCTCTGTCATTCCAGTGTAAATGTGGATTCTCTTTGCTGAACTATTTGGACCATGGCCTCTGGTGCCCTTGCTGGATTGTGAATGTCCATGTGGCATTTGGAGTGTACACTAACTGGGTCAAGTGCTGTGCTCTGTCACACGGGCGTAATGTGCCCGGAGCAACAACTGGATTTACACCAGTATGATTCAGAGTGGCAGAGTTTGGCCTGGAGTCTGTATTCTTGTTAGCACATGGCTCTCTTTTCTTCCCCCCCCCCCCCCCCACTGTAGTTCTTACAGGATCCTGATGAAGAAATTGCTAAAATGGAAATGAACAAGAAAAAGCAATATGAAAGCCAGGTAATTGATTTGGCTGTGGATACATAGTTACTGATACTACTGTAATTTTTTTAATTTATATAGTTTTCTTGGAATGTAGAGCATTTCATCAACTCTGTACCTACATCACCACTAGCATGCTGCATGGTAATGGGGGAGGGGAGACTTTTGTCCAGGGACACTAAGAGAAACCCCCTTCCAATTTACACAAGGTGACATGGGATCTTTAACATTCTCATAAAACAGATGAGGTCTGTCCGAATTCTTGTGGTATTACTATAGCATGACTAAATATCCTGGTTTGCATGGGCTTCATGTATTAAGGCCTTAATTTTGCATGGGTAGATAGCCGCACAGAACCCCATTTACTTCATTAGAGAGTTAGGACACATGTCCTATCCACTTCCATATAACTGGCAGTTTGGACCCTCTTGCAGCTGTCTCCCTACTTTAAATATGAATGTGGAAAAGAGGACATCTGTATTCCTCCTACAGCCCATTAATGGTTTGTTGTTGCTGTGACACTGAATGTTTTCTGAGTGCCAAAAAATCAAAAGGTGCACAGTTAGGATTTGGAAATTTTATGTTATATACTAGGGGATGTACACTTCCGTGGCATTGCTGGGACTGAAGCTTCTAGGTAAGGCATAGTAATCCCTATAAAGGCACTAGGGGTTGTTCAGATAGACAGCAGTAACTGGCTTAGGAGGGGTAGAGATTAGGAGGAGAAACAATGTCCTTAGCAGGCAGTGCTAGCTTTCTAAATCTCCCTGTGATAATATTAAGATAACTTAATTTTGATTTTTAACCCTTAGTATTCTAAACTTCATTTGTTTGTTCCATTCTTCCATTCCACTTCCATTCTTCCTTTGTTCCACAAACTTGGGTATGCTATCAGTTACTGCCCCACACTTTCATACACAATATGAGATGTGTACTGAGTTTGTGAGGTTTCACTCACTGTACACCTTTAAGGTATGTGCAGATTAAATTTGGCTGAGGCATGAAGAAATAGAATATACATACATGCTCTTCCTTGTTAGGATTTGAGCTAATTAATACATATGTAGGAGGATATTTAAACTACAAAAGTCATGAGTGGGGAATACAGTACCCTGTTCATTCAGTAATAGGGTTACTTATGCATAGGGCCCTACCAAATTCACAGCCATGAAAAACACGTCACGGACTGTGAAATCTGGTCTTTTGTGTGCTTTTATCCTATACTATACAGATTTCACTGTGGAGACCAGTGTTTCTCATATTGGGGGTCCTGAGGCAAAAAGGAGTTGTGGGGGAGGGGCACAAGGCTATTTTAGGGGGGTTGTGGTATTGCTACCCTTACTACTGTGCTGCCTTCAGAGCAGGGCAGCCAGAGAGTGGTGGCTGTTGTCCGGGCACCCAGCTCTGAGGGCAGCACCCTGCCAGCAGCAATGCAGAAGTGAGGGTGGCAATCCCATACCATGCCATCATTTACTGCTTCGCTACTGCCTTCAGAGCTGGGTGGCCGGACAGCAGTGGCTGCTGAATGAGGGCCTAGCTTTGCAGGCAGCAGTGCAGAAGTAAGGGTGGCAATACCATACCGTGCCATCCTGGCAGTGGCTCTGCCTCAGAGCTAGGCTTCAGCCCACCAACCGCCTCTCTCCAGCTGCCAAGCTCTGAAGGGAGCACTGCTGCCAGCAGCAATGCAGAAGTAAAGGTAGAAGTAGTACAATCCCCCCTATAATAACCTTGCGACCCCCCCCCCCAACTCCTTTTTGGGTCAGGACCCCTACAATTACAACACAGTGAATTTCAGTTTTAAATAGCTGAAATGATTAAATTTATTCTTTTAAAAATCCTATGACCGTGAAATTGACCAAAATGGACCGTGAATTTGGTAGGGCCCTACTTATGCATAATGCGGTGCATCTAACCAGAAGTGGCAACTGCAAATTTGAAGACTGAAGTGCTACATAACAGATGGACATCATTGTTTGGAATGGTCTCTGCTTGTTGCAACCACATATACTAGTTATCACTCAACATATTAAGCAGGGCTCAAATGGTGAGCATTTAATGAGGGGATCTCTCCTTCCCGTCTGTCTTCCTTTTATGCAGTATATTAAACTAATTTCTCACTTTCGACAAGGGGGAGCTGTCTGTCCTTCATTAGAATTCCTTTTCTCCACCCTCCCTAAAAAGCATCCCTCAATTTGAGGGTTTTTTTTAAATATGTATTACACAGTAGCTACTTACTAATAAGCTCTAATAACATGTACCCAGATATTTATCCCCTCTCCCCAAAATGGCAGTAGAAAGAAAGTTGAAATGTTTAGCATAAAATGCTCTTACTGTAACTCTTCTTATTCCAGAACTAGAAATGGAATTACAGTCCTGTCTTAACATGAAAATTAGATTTTTTTAAAATAGATGCTGGGACAATTCCTTCATGAATGATTGATGTATTGAAATACAGTTAAAGCACCAATTCCTGAAGTGTAAATTAAAGACTTAGCTTTCTGTAAACCCACTTGGTGTTGATAAGGCCCTGCAACTCTGTAGTTCATAAATAAGAGGTACCTGAGTATCAGTCTGTACATTGAGAGGATTCTGTGGATACTTTGTTATAACAGTTATCCTTTGACAAATCCATGAAGCTAACATTTGGTTGCACAGCAGCAGCTCTTCGGTATGTGGTGTGACACAAGCTATTCTCTGATATAAATTGCCATAGGCCACTAATGAGACTGTGTGCAGTTCCACCAGGAGTAGAGCAAGCTTGTATGATTGCTAGTGAGAAAGCAAGATGGTGCACAATAATAGCATAGCAAACTTCAATGTGCAAGTAGCCTTAAATCCTGTGCAACATACACTGCATTACATAAATACATTGCATTAAATAAACTATTGTATACTAGTTGAAGCTCCATTTTGCTCCATGTATAAAGTATCACTCTCACATCCCACTTATGGCATGTTAATACCCAATTCATTAGTTTGTTTCTGTTGAACGTACGGCCTGAGCTTTTAATTAGGATGATGTTACCCTGTATGTGATGAAAGGGTGGTTATATCAGGCTGATGGAAGCCGAGTACTGCAGGAATTTTGTATTTGGTTTTGAAGTAAGATAACAGGCACTGTTCTCAATTCTCATCCTGATTTTGGTCGTAACTAACGTGAGTGCTGATACATTAGCAGGATGTTTTGTGAAACAAAGGTCCTTTAAACTGAAATTATTTTTTCACACAACCTACCAAAGGGAGACCCGGATGATGAGCTTAGTCCACATAATTTATAACCAAGATAACGTTGGCTACTATCAAATTTAGGGTTGGGAATTGGAGCATTAATCACAATGATCCCGTCCCTTGTCTGACTTCTTTAACATTTCTCTTCATTTTTTGAAGCTGGCTGGTCGAACTGTCTTGTCTATCTTTCCTGTGCCATAATACTTGACTCTAGTGCAGTGGTTCTCAACCTACTTATCATTGTGGGCCACATCCAATACTGCCTGTATGGCTCTGAGGATGTTGATTGGGTCGCAAGCGGCCCATGGGCCCGCAGGTTGAGAACCACGGCCTAGTGCCTTCAGTGAATGAAACTAACTAGAATTACATTGTGTCACTTTCTGTAGGCAAATTGCAGGAGAACAGCATTATTCCTAACATGTGGCTTCAGGCACTAGTTGCTAGCACATGCTGGGTTTTGCGGAGTTGGGGAGGGCTAAGTTTATATCCCTCTTTCTCTTCCGATCCCACCTTCATGTTTGGTAACTTCAGCTTCAATGCTGATGATCCATCCAACCTTTTGCTTCTTATTTCCTCTTTCCCTCAGTAGTTCTGAGTCAACCTCCTACATACAGCCGTGGTCTAGACTTTATTTGGTGCTGTACATTGCTGCTTGTTCACTCATGGCTAGATTTCTTCATTCTTCATCTGCCTTTGCTGGTTTTTTTGTTTTGTTTTGTTTTTTGTGTGTGTCCTATTACTGCGAAGCCATTAACTTTCTTGAGTTCTCAAACTCCTCCTTCCTGTTGATATAGATAGCAGCATATAAATAAAATACAGGTTTTTTACCGCAGCCATCATAGAAGTATCTGAGCCTTGCCAAAGAACTTCTTGGACCTCACATATAAAACCACTCCTCTTCCACACTAGATTCTTTGGCTTCCCTTTCTTGCTGAATCCTGGTCTTGGCTTACATCCCACTTCAGCTCCTGCTCCAGCATTGCAGAGTGCCTTTGGAGGAGCCCACGAACCATAGGATTTCCTTTGCTACACTGCCAAGATTTTCAGCTGCACCTGCCATCCTGGATACAAGGGTGGGGTCCCTGCAGAGGAGCCGATTGCAGCTCCAGGATTTGGGGACTAGTTACTTTATGCAAACCTAAACTAAGCTTGGCAAAAATTGAACTAGTTTTTCTACCTAAGCCTTTGCCCATTTCCCCCTCCCCCCCCACAAATGGCAACTTGACAATCCACTCAGTTGATGTAATACAACTTTTTTGATACATTTCCTCATCTGAAATTGGTGCTGTCACAAAATCTGTAGCTGTCTCCATCTCCCCTGCAAAAACCCTTATCTAAGCAATAATAATCCCTCACTTCAATGATTATAACCTCTTCCTCCTCACTAGCTTGCTAGATGGTCATCTTGCTTCTTTTTAGCCTATTTAAAATGCTGCCTCTTAAGATAATGTATCTTGCTTGCTGCTCTGACCACACCTAGCCCCTCACCTATCATTTCACTCTTAAACATCATTTTGCTCTTAAATCTTAGAGGTCCTCTCGTTCCAATCCTGTTGAGTTTTACTTATTTTTTTATTTAAAAACACCCGCTGTACTTCAGTGCACTGATGAATTGCATTGCCTTTTGTTGTTTCCCTTTGCCCTCATTTTGTCTACATGTTTAGATTGTGAGCTCTCTGGGGCAGGGGCAGGGACCTTGTCTTTCTGAGGTGCCAAGCATGTGCCACGTTATACAGAAAGTATATAATTCTCCTTCCTTAACTCTTATCCAAACCACAGTCTGTTTGATTAACTGCACTCAAAGGACCGTCGTCCATGCCTGCCATGTAATTGGAGAACAAGATGTACCTAAAATGTAACTTAGAGGAAGGACAAAAAATTAAGTTAAGTGCTGATGTGACACTTTAAACTTTCAGTTCATAGGGAATCTACTGTCGTCTTACTCTGAATGATACATCTTTCCCCCCAGTTAAATAGTAACACAAACCGCACTGGGATCTTGGACATAGCTGTGCACATGCCTGTGATAGATTTGCATGCACAATTTTGAGACCTCCTTTTTGAAGAGGAAAACTGCCTAGCTTTTTCAGGCAGTGGCTCAAATAGTACAAAGCAATTTTCACTATGAATAAACCAAAACGTGGTTATGAGCATTCTGAATCTAGTGCTGGAAAGTGTTAGTTGTGACAAAGGCAGACTAAAAACCCAGGTTTGGAACTGATTCATAAGTCTTCTTATTTTTAACTTGTAAAACAAGTGTTTTCTATTTAAAGCAGGTTGAGGACTTGCTGAAGCTTTTTGACCCTGCCACTGATACAAATTGCATTCCTTTTTCAGTAAGATGGCTGCCTCCAGTACTAGGTCAAATGCCAAGTTTTAGTTAGAATAAAAATAAATGTGTTTATTCATGGTGATAGGATTTTCTTTCTTTGTGAACTTTCAGAACATTGGGCTAAGCAAAATGGGTTCTGTCTTTCTTTAGGAACTGGGGTGATAACTTTATACCAATGTCTTGCTTTTTTAAAATTTAGTTTGCCAAGATAAGCCGCCTTTAAAGAAAAGTAGCATTAGGTCTGTGTCCTGTTCCAAATACATAAATAACAAGTTATAATAGCTGGAATGTCAGGTGTCTACCATTTGCAGATTTGTTAGTAACCTATTCTGTATATGAATGGACTAGCTATTATGAGTTTGTTAGTTCTTTTCTAAGAGGGAACATCCTAGGGCAAATAAAATGTATACAAAGTCATTTTCATATATCTGAAGTGATAGCAAAATGTTAGCTTTCTGCTTAACCAACTTCACAAGATGAGCAGTCAATAACCTCTGAATCTTGAAAGACAAAACAAAATCAGCATTCCTTCTCTGCTGTGTTCATTACCAAGGACATTTTGCACAAAAGCAGCCTCTTTGTCTGGGAATCTCATTTGCTTATTCCTCACCTGAGTCCTAATCCTTGATTGTCGTCTTAGCATATGTGCAACATGCCTCATGTGGCACGTGACCAGCATTCATCACTGAATTTGGTCTGCTGGCATTGGATCATTAGTGCCTGGCCCAGGCCAGGGAATCTGGCTGGGATTGTGATGCCATAAACGAAAGGATTAGAACTTCAGGTGGGGAATAAGCGATGCGACTCCCAGACAAAAATCGTATTTTCACACAAAATCGCCTTCTATCCAAAACATTGCAACAGAACTCTTTATAGAGAACACTGGTCTTTCTGTGGGACATCTGTGACCCTTCAATTCCAAAATATGAAAGGTAAATGACTTGTTTTAAGCTCAGCAATTGAAAGTCTTTCTTCATGTGAAAATGCACCTTTCAACTTGTTCTGAATTTTAGCTGCCTACAGGAGTGATCACCTCTCTGAACTAATGTGTCTTGTGTGGAGTCTGTGTGCATTAATAGCCCTAGAAACTATAAAACCAGTTATAGTGCAACATTTTTTTCTTTCCTTTAATAGCCATCTTGGAATAAGGATGTCCAGAAAAGTCCCCATATGCTGATTCCCACACCAGATAAAGATGAGCCAGTTAATATTGGCTTTTCTCATTTTGTACACCTCAGACTTAGTCCATCTAGAACTTCACCGCTACCAATTCTGGGGTAATTGTATTTCATTCCCCCTTCTTTGTCTGTCCCATTCACCACTTAACAGTTGATACTTAACATGTTTATATTTTTTCCTTAGCTGGGCAAATAGAGATGATGTTTGGAAAAACATGCTAAACAAAGAACAGACGTATGTGAGAGAGAAACATTATATGCAAAAGCACCCTCTCTTGCAACCTAAAATGCGAACAATTCTTCTAGACTGGCTAATGGAGGTGAGCTTTGCTGTTCTTGCTAACAATTTGTGTGCTGTAGGTAGGTATAGAGATGCCCTGAATAACATGAATTTTTCTAAATACCTAGTATGATCTGATTTTCATGCACTTTACATAATGCATACAGCACCAGAATATTAGTGGAACTTGTTTACTCAGTGCACATCTAAGAAATTTTACCAGAGTGTTGGCACCAAATATGTAGAACTTAATGGTTCCAAGTTTCAAGTGTGCAGTTTGATAACTTCATATCTAATATAAGGATAGTTTATCAAACTTATACTCAGTGAATGTGAATGCCTACTTCTGCCTGGAACTTACATGAAATGTTTTATTTCAGCATTTTGTGTTCTAGACTAAAGCAAAACAAATGAAGATGAAATTATGGTGGAGGGGAAGTGATGGTGTGTGTAGAGAAGTTGGGAACCCTGATGTAATGCTTAATGTGTCATAATTCTAATAGTTTCAGCGTATACTATGTGATCTGCAACTGTTTCTGACATGATAATCTTAGAATTGAAAAGATGCTATTTTTAAACATTCTTGTTGCACAGTATCTTCCTGTTGGCCACCTACTGGCTTAGAAGACTGAAGAGTTCTTCTCAGTCACAACCAACTAGTGAGAATTTTTTTTTCCGTTACGAACTGTGGGGAGGCTACATATTTTTGAAAATGAAGACCTGATGCTCTGGTCTTGTAACATGCATGCTTTCCCGTGTGTGTGTGTGTGTGGTTTTTTTGTTGGTTGTTTTGTTTTACACACTACAGCCTTGTCCCAGCGATGTAAGTGCCATACTACACTGACATAACTCCACTTACATAAGCCCAATGCGCTTACATAAGCGCTCTCATGGCAGTGTAGTTAAGGCAATGCAGTGTCTGTGCAGACATTGTGTGAAAATTGACAAGAAAGCCAGGCAGTTAGAGCCCAGCTTCCTCTGGCTCCCCACTCCCAGTTGGGCTACTGCCCAAAGGCTCCCTGCTTAAGGAGCCGAGAAGCCTGGATAGCTGCTCTTCCACTCCTGACTGGGAGCAGGGAGGGAAGAGCCTGGGGGGCAGCTGGGCGCCGAGCAGAGAGCTGCATGAAGCTGAGAGCCCTGGCTCTCATCCCCTCATGCTGCCCCTCTTCAGCTGGCATCAGCCACCGCAGTAATTATTAGGATTGAAGGGTCACAGATGTCCCATGGAAAGACATCACTGCGGTGGCTGTAAGTTGACCTAGGTCAACTTACAGCTGTAGTGTGGACATGACACCACCCTTCTTACCCCATATTTGATTTCAGCTCTTTTTATATTAAAACTACTGTATGAAATATATCCCTAGATTTGTCTTATTAAATGTTATACGCTGCTTGAGACAAAACCCCCATTGTAGGTACATGAGTTGGTTTGATACCTAAAAGGACTTGTATGTACTCTGCTTTCCTTATGAATATGCATTACTGTTTATCTCTTGCAGGTTTGTGAGGTCTACAAACTTCACAGAGAGACTTTTTACTTGGCACAAGATTTCTTTGATCGGTTTATGGCAACACAACAAAATGTTGTAAAAACACTGTTGCAGCTTATTGGCATTTCATCTTTATTCATAGCTGCAAAGCTTGAGGTAAAAGTCTTTAGCTTCTTACCTAAACATAAGTGGCTTGGAAATGCTTGCTTCTTTTCAGTGCTGGGCACATCTTTGCTTTATGGAAGTCATTGAGGGGAAAAGAATTTTTGGAGGAGTTTGTAGGAAGAAAGAAGACTCCACTCTTGCTACAATTCCCCTCTGGCCCATTTTACCCTATATAAGGTTACACCAGAATATGCCATTCCTTTGTACTCCTAGGAAATTCAAAAACTGAGGTGAAGTTAGTTACCTTGGGTTTTAAGGTTGGTCGCTGGATACAGAGACCACTTCTAAGTACTCTACCAATAAAGAACATAACTGACATTGGAACAAGATGACCTAACTCAGGAGTTATCCCTCAATTGTTTGAATAACTCGACTATTAAAATAAGTGACTTTCTCTTGGTTTTAACTCTTAAAGGTGAAGATGAATAGAAATCTCTGGAATGCATTTGATTCTTTAAGGTATTCTTTGGCACACATCCTTGCTCCGCTTCTAAATCATAAGGCCTCATCAGATATTTATTTAGTTATTTATTTTAAGTGTGAGTAAGGTAAAGTTTATACCTGTCAATTGAGTGGAAGGGTTAGGGAAGCCAACTTGTCTGAAAAAACAGATATGTTAAAAGAGCATTTAAATTGTTAAGCTAAATTGGGGCTAATGTCTGTTTCTTCCTCTCCCCACTGCCTCTTTCAACAAGCCAAATTTAGACCAAATATATCCCATAACCTCTAGAGATACATCCTCATACCACATCTGCATTGGGCACCAGGTTTATAATCTTAGATTTGGGAAATTAGAATAGGTCATTGGCCGTGTTGTTCCTAATATTTCTTCTAGAGGGCTAATCCTCTTGTAATGTGACACAAAAATAGACACCCCCCCTGCTAAGATTGGAACCTGGCCCCTAGAAAATGGGGTGGCACACTTTTTTTATTTTATTTTATTTTTTTTTGGTTTTTTTTAAAGGCTGAATAAACATTTTTAGGAATATGCAGGTGTTATCTCTCCATGTATGCAGTGGGAATACAGAGGCGAATTTGTGAGGTGGTGGAATAACTGACATGAAGATCTTGATATGAGCTCTGAGAACATGCATTGTATCCCTTGCAGTCAAACTCTATTTTGGACTTGGACTGATAAATCAAAAATGGAAAACGAAGACTATGAACAAGAAATTTGCTATTTGGGAAGCCATTTTTTATCACTGCCATGATTCATGAGAGTCAACAAACACTTGGGCTCCCATGAGATTTTAAAAAGAAAAGGAGTACTCGTGGCACCTTAGAGACTAACCAATTTATTTGAGCATAAGCTTTCGTGAGCTACAGCTCCACACTGCATTTAGCCGTATGGAGTGGAGCTGTAGCTCACGAAAGCTTATGCTCAAATAAATTGGTTAGTCTCTAAGGTGCCACAAGTACTCCTTTTCTTTTTGCAAATACAGACTAACACGGCTGCTACTCTGAAACATGAGATTTTAGTTTTACACAACTTGAAATGTTCAGTTTTTTTACATGTGGAATATCTACATTCTACTTGACTTATATTTTTGATCTTTTATCTTTCAGGAAATCTATCCACCAAAGTTGCACCAGTTTGCTTATGTTACAGATGGAGCTTGTGCAGAAGATGAAATCCTCAGCATGGAATTGATCATTATGAAGGTAGTTATAAAATTGTATTGTTTACATTTCTGTAAGGACCAAAACATGGTGTGATCAACTTCAGCAGAGATCTGCAATTAGTGTTGTAATATTCTGGTAGAGTAATATTTTTCCTGTAGTTAAAACTAGTGCCTTATAAGATGTAGAAATTTGCATACTTCTCAAATGTTACAGATAAAGTGGTTTGGTTAGGTTTTTTTTTTTGCTTGGGAAAGTTCAGTTTCACTGGGAAAAAGAACATTGTTTTCTTTGCACTGCTACCATAAATGGGAATGCAGTCTCCCACCAACACTAGGTAATGATGTAAAGAGTAAGATGCATATTCTAACAATTTTATATCTCTGTCTTTTTTAGGCTCTTAATTGGAACTTAAATCCACTGACAGTTGTATCGTGGCTAAATATTTACATGCAAGTTGCATATCTAAATGAGCTTTATGAGGTGTTGCTGCCACAATATCCCCAGCAAATCTTTGTACAGATAGCAGAGGTAAGGGTGACTTCATCCCCGAACTCCATGCATCTCATGTTAAGACTTCTCATTTGTAATATGAGATTGTCACATGTTAGGAATCTGTCTTCTCCCTGTGTAGCTTTTGGATCTCTGTGTGCTCGATATTGGCTGCTTGGAATATACATATGGAGTACTTGCTGCTTCTGCTTTGTACCACTTCTCCTCATCTGAACTGATGCAGAAGGTTTCGGGTAATTAACGCTTTCTAATTGCAAATATTTGTCTGACAAGTAAGTTAACCTAAAGCTCACATAAGTATCTTTACCTTCCAGGTTATGACTGGTATGATATAGAAGAGTGTGTAAAATGGATGGTTCCATTTGCTATCGCTATCAGGGAAGCAGGAAGCTCCAAACTCAAGCACTTCAGAGGCATAGCTTCTGAAGATTTGCACAATATACAAACACATATAAACAGCTTGGATTTGCTGGTATGCTTTTTTTTTAAAAATCTTCACTTTATGTAACCTCTAGAGGCAAAAACTATATATTCTCTTGCAGAGTATAGGAATTTCAAGGCTTTTTTAAAATTTGTGACCTGATAGAGCAGGGGTGGGCAAACTTTTTGGCCTGAGGGCCGCATCAGGTTTTGGAAATTGTATGGAGGGCTGGTTAGGGGAGGCTATGCCTCCTCAAACAGCCAGGTGTGCCCCCACCCCCTGGGACTTCTGCCCCATTCACCTCCCATGCTCCCTGTCCCCTGCCTGCCCCCTGCCACCCCATCCAACACCTCCTCTCATTCCTGACTGCCCACCCCCCGAAACCTCTGCCCCCATTCAACCCCCCTTTTCCCTGCCCTCTGACCACACCCCTGCCCCTTGACCACCACCCCAAACTCCCCTGCCCTCTCTCCAATCCCCCTGCTCCCTGCCCCCTTACCTTGCTGCCTGGAGCACCGGTGGCTGGCAGCACTACAGCCATGCCGCCCGGCTGGAGCCAGCCATACCACCGCGCAGCGCAGAGCACTGGGTCAGGCCGGGTTCTGCAGCTGCACTGCCCCAGGACCTCGTCGCCCAGAGCATTGCACCGGCGGCGCAGTGAGCTAAGGCTGCGGGAGGAGGGGAAACAGCAGGGGAGGAGCCAGGGGGCTCGCCTCCTGAGCCAGGGGCTCAGGGGCCAGGCAGGAGTGGCCCGCAGGCCATAGTTTGCCCACCTCTGCGATAGAGCAAATTCAGAAACTAAATGCCTTTAAAAAGTGATACCCAGTATATAGTGAAGGACTTATACTTAAGAGTTCAGCTGATGACAAACTTTGAGCTTTAAATTGCAAGTTCCTTTGGGCAGAGACTGTCATATTTTGTGCTGTGCCTCACACAAAAGGGTCACTCTTCAGATTGTGGGCTCTTGGTGATGGCGTAATACACAGAGCACTTGAAAGTAATTTGTATATGTTATGTCAGAAACATACTACCGTCTTGCAAATACTTGTCAAAGAAAGAAACAAAACCTCCTCTAATTTGGTTTTCCCCTAACTTGGTATCAGCTTTGGGATGCTTCAGATGTTGCATACTGGGCTTATTTTTTCCATAAGGATTATAGAACATAGAGCTTCCCCATTATGTTTGGAAAGATAGAATAGTCTAATTTTAGGAAAGAAAACACGTCCCTAATTTGGATGACTGCTTTTGATTTATTTTTCAATGCTTTCTTTCTCTTTTTCTTTTCTTTCTCCGCCAGTGACTAAATTCTCACTATAGGCCAGTAAGATCAATATCCCAAGGTTTGCTGGCAGTTGACTAGTTGAATAAGTCAAGCAATAATGTTTTAAGCAATTATAATATATAATAACTGTCAGAATATATTTGCTTGATGCAATTACAGCTGTATTATAAACTGGAGTTAACTTTTTATTCACTAATTCTTTTATATTAAAAAGGTTTTGATTAAAATGTAGTAGATTATAAAAACACCTCTAAAGCTTAGTAGCAACTGAAATTCTGCTTTCTTACACACTTGTAAGGTCTATATCTAATAGTGGTTAAGGGAATTCAAAATGCTGGTAACTTAGATCTATCATGATTTACAGTATCTGACTAGCAATATAATACATACATCTGATTACAGTAAAGTTGTTTGGTAGGTCTCAATAGGAACCTGCCAAATTGCACTCTGGACTCACGTTGATAATACTTTTAAGGCAAAGCTGCACACTGGAAAATTACCTAAATTGAAGAATTAGCGCTGCTGCGTTACTCTCAGACTTATTCTGCTATCAGTTGGTTTTTCAGAGGCAGTCTTAGCTTTGAAGCAACTTCAGTGCTATGGTGTAAGAATTTTTAAATTGATAATAGGTTGGTGAAAACAAACTAGAGAGGTTTAAATGTGTGAATGATAGCTTTGGAAAAATAATGGGCATTTAAGTAATACCTCAAGTCTTTTGCATCTTTTATTAATATGCATGGCTGGAATATCAAAGCTGATTTTGTAACACGCTAACTTAAATATTACCTTTTTTACTTGTTCAGGACAAAGCTCAAGCAAATCAGGCCATGTTGGCTGAGCAAAATAGGACTTCTCCTTTACCCAGTGGTGTCCTCACACCACCACAGAGTAGTAAGAAACAGTCCACTGGGCTGAAGCTGATATGACTGCAAACTGTCTACATCAGAGACAATTTAGCTGAAGTGCCTGTTTTTGCTGGTTCTGAATCCTGCTCCATTATGGAAATGCTGCCAGTGAAGTTCATAAGCTTTTATGGATTCTAAAAAAGAAACTTGCATTTTTTTGTGACAGAAGAATCTTCTATATGAAAAAGTTTTTATTAACTATTGATATTTTAAATAAATGGATCAAGTACACCAGCCACTTAAAAGAACGCCGAAGAGTGCTCCAAATGCTGCTAAGGAAGGTAATACTTGATGTGACCAACTGTTCAAAAAAAAAAAGGCTTGAAGTTAAAACCTGCAACTGTGTGTGTGTCTGTGTGTCTGTCTTTGGATATCCCGGGGTCATTTCACCTTGTGGGGGCAAATGGGTTTGAGAATGCTGTGGAAGACTACATTTTAGAGCCTCTTTACAAGCTATTGGCTTACAACTTGATGACTTTTTAAAAACCCTTTACGTAAATGCTGCTATGTCTCTGTATATCAATTTTTAAATAAAAATGCTGTCCAAGACAGCTGGTTTTATGTGTATTTGTTGTATCAGTGTGGTAAAGGTAGCTGTTTTGAAGCAGAAAACATGGGGGAATTAAGAAAGTAAGGATATCTTCTGTTACCACCAACTGCTTCCCTGCGAACTAAGTCTCTTCTTGGATACAGAAATGTGAACATCCAGAGAATGAAGCTGTGAATGCAACTGAAAACAGGGACTATTCATACTGTGTATTTTTTTTCTCAAATATTTTGAATGACTACTTCTGGAAACTGATATTCCACCTCCACATATTGCAGGGAGGAGGAGATGTAAACCAGCTTTTCAGTTCGTCCTGGCACTTGTTTTTCAAAATGTCAGTGAGCAGTTTCTACTGCAAATGTAATGCTGAAAATTCTGGGAGGCTTTCAGCATTACTCATGCTAGTTTCCCATAAACTACGCAGAAGCAGCATGAAACTGAGGAATGGAATACAAGTTGTTTGGGGTTTTCATTAACTTCCTGGTGTCCAAACTAAAGCTTGCTGGTAACTCTGGTGTTTGGAAGTAATTTAGCGTGTTGGGTGGGAGGGAATCTGACACAATCTAAAGCCCTAATATATTGAAAAAAGCATAGTCTTGATCAAGTGTTAAATAATGCTGCTTATGGTTAAACAATTCATGTTTTATCTTCATGATGCTGTTCGGTATCTTGAAAGAGCCTTCTCTGAAAGGTTGTAAATTGGTTGTTAAAGGAACAAGTGTAAATGTCAACTGAACAATTTGGCAGCTACCAACTTGAAGTTCTTACTTCTGGCAGAGATATGACTGACAGTGAGGCCTGGACCTTATTGGAAGGAATGTTAGAAATACTCATGAGTGGTGAAAATGCATGTAGCTTAGTACTACTCTTAAATATCCTCACACTCATTTAAAACCTGAACAAAAGTATTTTAGAATTCTTACCTTGTAATTGATGAGAAATCAGTTTTTAATGCAAACCTTCCAGTCATTATTTCTAATGCTTTCTATAAAAGCTTCAGTATTAAATAATGACCACCATATACAAAACCCCCATTTGACTGTCATAAATATAAAGGAAGGGTAACAACCTCTATGTATGCAGTAACAGAAATCCCTCCTGGCCAGAGGTACAGAATCTCTTACTTGTAAGGGGTTAATCAGTTTGTTTAATCTGATTTGGCACCTGACCAGAAAGTCTAATAGGGAAAGAAGATACTTTCAACTCTGGGGTGGGGAGTTTTTGTTTGTGCTCTCTTTGTGGTGTGCTCTCTCTCAGAACAAAGAGAGAGACCAAGCAGGAAAAAAACTTCTCCTAAAAAGATACATCTAAAATTACAGAAATTGTAAGTAATAGCAAGGAAATGCATTAGATTATTTTTCATTTTATCTTGTGAATTTTCCCTATGCTAAGAAGTAATTTTATTCCTGTTTTGTAACTGGGAAGCAAAGTCAGAGGTGATCCTCTGGGTTTTAAATATTTTTATTTACGCTGTAAAGTTATCTTCCATCCTCATTTTGCAGGTGTGAGTCTTTTACATTTTTTTTAAATAAAATTCTTCTTTTAAGAACCTGATTTTGATTTTCAGTGCCCTAAAAAACAGGGATTTGGTCTGTGCTCACTTTATTAACCTATTGGTTGGTATATTATTCTCAAGCCTCACCAGGAAAGGGGGTGAAGGGGCTTGGGGGGATAGAGCTCCAAGTAGCCTCTCCCTGAACGTTCATTTAAATCACTTGGTGATGGCAGCAATACTGTCCAAGGATAAGGAAAGGAATTTGTGCCTTAGGGAAGTTTTTAACCTAAGCTGGTGGAATATAAGCTTAGGGGTTTTTTCATGTGAGTCCCCCATCTGTATCTCAGAGGGGGGAGGGAACCCTGACAGACTGCTTATAATAGGATGTTACACTTTTAATTTAGGACTTTAATAGTCTGCCCTCTCCAATTGTGGAAAAATTGAAGACCGTAGCAAACACAGCAAATGTGACAAGCACTAATTTTCAGTTTCCATTAGGAAAAAAACTTTCTGGTTTGACATCCTAATGTTTGAGAATAAATGCAAATGTTCTATACCCCTATGGAAAGATACGTGGATAGAAGTAAGTTGTACCTCATGGAACTCCATTTCTATGAGCAGTTGTGTCTAGCCAAAATGAAGCCTGACTTTATATACTGATCCTACTTTAGGTTCTAACTATAAGTGGTGGTAACTTTGAAAAAGTTTAAAATGCCTTATTTCTGAGGAAAGGAGACTTGTGTTCAGAGTGCACTTAATCATAGCCCTCCTCAAGCCCCTCAGTCAGCCACTACAGCTTAGGCCATGCTAATACACAGCTGTTTTCATGAGTTAGATGAAGCAGAGTTTTGAATTCATTTGACTTGGGCATGGATTATATGTAGAGAGGGGTAGAAGATGGGAGTCAATGTACTGAGTGGTAATGAGCTATGTTGCATTGTCTCGGAATGGAAAGCTTTCTGAATAACAAGTTAAAATAACAGATTTCTAGAAATTGATTGCTTGAATAGGAAATGAAAGTATCTTTCATTCTCTTCCGTCGCGTGCGCGCCCCCCCCCCCCTCAGATTTCAAAGTGCAACATTATTTAGGAGGGAGGAGTAAGCTGGATGGAGTAAGTGCAATTGATGGATCCTTTCACTTGAATTTTCTAAAATTTGTTGAATTTTTGTACTATGTAAAGTGCCTATAAAAACACACTTTTAACATTAACTCTTAAGTTCTTGCATTAGTATAGCTTTGGTAACTAGATCATTCTGCATACTATCTGGAATACATCAGCACAGTCTGAATTAAATATTTGCTTCACTTTGCATATAATTGTTCCCTTCAAGTTTTAAATTAAACATCTGCCTCTGACAGCACCCCACCCCATTTTAAAAGGTCACTTTTCAATCTCTTGAAATCCATTTCATTCTCAAAGAACTTTGTCAAGCACAAAACAGTAAACATTATGTAAGAAAGGCCCTACTGGGTCAGACCAAAGGTCCATCTAGCCCAGTATCCTGTCTTCCGCCAGTGCCAGCTGTCTCAGAGGGAATGAAAAGAACAGGTAATCATCAAGTGATCCATCCCCTGTTGCTCATTCCCAGTTTCTGGCAGACAGAGGCTAGGGACGCATTTCCTGCCCATCCTGGCTAATAGCCATTGATAGACCTATCCTCCATGAATTTATCTAGTTCTTTTATGTTATGGTCTTGGCCTTCACAACATCTTCTGTCAAGGAGTTCCACAGGTTAACTGTGTGTTGTGTGAAGAAATACTTCCTTTTGTTTGTTTTAAACCTGCTGCCTATTAATTTCATTTGGTGACCCCTAGTTCTTGTGTTATGAGAAGTAGTAAACAACACTTCCTTATCTATTTTCTCTTCACCAATCATGATTTTATAGACCTCAATCATATCTCCCCTTAGCTGTCTCTTTTCCAAGCTGAAAAGTCCCAGTTTTATTAATCTCTCCTCATACAGAAGCTGTTCCATACCCCTAATCATTTTTGTTGCCTTTTTGTGAACCTTTTCCCATTCCACCCCATCTTTTTTGAGATGGGGCGACCACAAGATGTGGGCGTACCATGAATTTATATAGAGGCAACATGATATTTTCTGTCCTATTATCTATCCCTTTCTTAATTATTCCCAGAATTCTGTTTGCTTTTTTGACTGCCACTGCACATTGAGTGGATGTTTTCAGAGAACGATCCACAATGACTTTTGCTTTTGCCCTTCCCATATATTTCAAGATTCAAGATTTCAGCCACACTTGTGGTTATGGGGTTCACAAAAGAATAAGTTTTGTAGTTACAATCCGCAATACTTTGTTTTTTGTCCTGATGCCTGTTATTTCACATATAGTAGGGGAATGTTGAATTGTTTAAAAATAACTTCCACTGCAATTTAAAAAAATAAATCCTCATGGGAATATTTCAAGGGGTCTTAGCTTTTATAAAAAGCCTTTTTTAAAAAAAAAACACACTTGAATACTGGGCCAAAAATGAGTGGTCTCTTGAATTTCAAAAGTATAGTAAAATGGCCTGGGGTATTTGTACAAATTGAGATTAAAAAGCCAACCTTGACACTGAAACTATGCCACATCTTGGTTAAGAAGTAAATTATGTTTGTAGCCTTGAGTCTGTTTTACCAATATAGAAAGAAACCCTTAATTAACAATATGAAATGTTGTATTCATCCCAAAAAAGGAAAGTATTTCAGGAAAGTGGCATTATCACAGAAATTAGGCTCCTAGTACGAAAAGCCAAGACCATGTACACATTGCTCAACATCACATGCATTTCTCTATATTAGAAATAGATTCTTTTCGTTTCTGCGTATCTAGAAGAAAAACCTTAGATATTCCAAGACTTGTCTCCCTTCTCTCCTCCCCACCTCCACCAAAATTAGTTTCTTGCACAATTAAGAACGTTCATTAGCCAACTGACTCCCCTTGGTAGTGCAAGGAAATGGAAGCTATAAAAGAGAGCTGAAAAATTGAAACTGAAAATCTGCAACTGCAACATATTAGCTGGAATAAATTAGTTACTTGCACAAGTTTAAGTTTTTGCAACCCCTTCTAGAGCAAATCAGTTGAACTCTGAATCTGGGCCAGTAACTCTTTCTAATGTGCATGCGAGGAGCCTAATGAACCAAAAATACAGGAAGTTGGCTGGAAGTTAAGCACCCACTGCAATGACCGTATAGGACCAGTAAAACTGCAGGAGGTACTTTTCTTTTTTTCCATACATTTGTAAAATTGAGAAGCAGCAACAGCTGTGCCTTGCCATGTCTACAGTTATTGTGGTCTGATTCCACTTGTGTGCACTTCACACATACTGATCAGGTAACTAGAATGAATAGTATGAAAAAAGTATTTCTCACCTGAGTCCTAGAGTTACATCATCAAAAAGAAAGGCAAAATGAGTAATACAGTACAGCAGTGGTTCTCAACCAGGAGTATGCAGAGGTCTTCCGGGGGTACATCAATTCATCTAGATATTTTCCTCGTTTTAAACAGGC